CTATCTACTAATATATTAGATACAGGATAAAACACCAAAAAGGGGGGAGAAGAATTTAAAGGATTAGAGAAAAATAAACTTAAATAGAAGTTCTCAATTTTCTTCCCACATACCCTTAGATTGTCTCCAACACCCATTTTTGGAAACCATTGATCTAGTGAAGAGGAAAAATGACATAATAAGAACATTTAGGATGAAAGGAGTGGCTTTCCTCAACTGTGTTTATTGCAAATAAAGACCCCAAGAAAACAGAACTGCTCCCTAATAAGCCAGCTGCCCTATTTCTATCCGAAAAGATATTTAACTCTGCAATGTTGCTACCGGTTCGTGTTCTCTGGCAGAGAAGTCTGCCTGGGTCTGCACAGGTTTTGCCCTTGGCGGCTTCTTTCAGGGATGGGGCTGGGGGCGCAGGCTCAGTGCGCCTTAACTGCGGTTGCCTCGCACCAGCACCAGCCGTTTCTAAGGAGACTCTGCCCGCGCTTGAACGTTGAGCCGGGGTACCCCTCCCCTTCTCCCATTTGTCTCTGCCTAATTGAACTCTGGTTGGCCCTCTTCCAGCACTGTCCTGTTTCACCTACTGATAAATAGTCTTTCGCTTCTAGTTGCAGAGCTAAACAAACCCCCAGAATGGACCACTGTTCATCTTAGCTACGTCCCCGTGCAGAAACCAGGGCGGCAGGCCATCGCTGTGGTTTCGCAGCAAATTGGCAGCGTTCACCAGTTACTTGCTGGAACGTCAGAAACCCGGATGTGGAATGGCTTTTCCCCAGAGGTTCACTGGAGAACCTCGTTTTAGGTTTAAGAAAAAGACCTGGGCTTTGTTCTAGCTTCTTGCTAAAGTTGGGGAGTTCTAAATGATGGCCGGAGTGACGTCAGGTAAATATTCCTTCTCCTAGATGAATGAGAGAGAATTTAGCACACAATAGGTATCTACATCTATCTATCCACAGATACTATAGGAAACCAGAAACTTGTGTTTCATGCGTCAGCTTCTATACACCCAGAAATCAAAGTAACCAAAGTTTGGAGAGCCAAGATTTCCACAGATACTCAAAAGCCAGCCTCAGATTTATGGAAGCAAAGTCTGCCAACTGGGTTGGGCCTCCCTGGGGAAGTGAATTAGCATCCGGATTGTTAAAAAAAAAAAAAAAAAGAAATTTTAGGAAAGTATAAATGTGGAATGTCCTGCCTACATTTTTTGTTTTGGGTTGTCCTTTTTTTAAAAAAAATTTTTTGACATAATTTTAGACAGATAAACAACCTTAGCCATCAGTCACCGTGTCACAGATGAAGCCGGAACAGGAACAGTAACTCACTTCAGGTTGTATGCTAGTTAGTATTTATTACGGAACTCAGACTTGCTTCCCAGCCCAGTGTTCCGTGATTTCCAAAATACCGTTGCGGTTCACACAAGACAAGAGATCGTTTTTTCTTCTAGAATGATGGCTTAGCCCCACCCAAAAGCGAATGTTCATTGATGTTTTTTCAAAGCCTTTATGAGTAGTAGCTCTGACTTCGGGTCAGCAAAATAGGTCATTATCTGGACCACTGAAGAAGGTGGTTTGAGATTATCAGTAGATTCTGCCAACTTGCATATCTCGCACGGGCTGTCAATAAATTCATAGTTTCATTTGCTCCTTTGTTCACACCTTGTTTCTCCTGTGTGAAAGGCTCTCTCTAGAATGGACTCTGAGAATATTCAAAAGGGAATATGACACCGTCTGTGATACAACACCCATATAAGTCAGTAAGTAATAAACATTGCTAAAGGCCCTATTTCATAGCATAGTGATGACTTCCTTTATTTTATAAAAATAACACGGTCCTTGATTTTAAAAAAATTCAAATAATAGGGCAGTTTAAAATGAAAAACAAACCCCCTTCCAACCCAGACTCCTAATCCCGCTCCTCAACAATTCCCTGTGTACCTTCCAGACATTGTCCTGTACACACATCCATTGATCTCCTCTTTTTATATAAATGAGGGCATATAAATCATATTATTCTATGTCTTGGTTTTTGCACTTGGCCATATACCTTGGTAATCTTTCTATCTCGGCACACACGGCTCTGAATTTCCTTCTAGCTTTGGAGCATTCCGTTGAGATGATATGCCATAAATTTTTAACCAGCCCCGCATTACGGATATTAGTTGTTTTCAGTTTTTGCTCTTGTCAACAATGCGGCAATCATTACGCTTTTGCACACATCCTTATGTGCATTTTAGGCATATCTGTAGAATAAATTCCTAGGAACTGAAATTGCTGGGTCAAAGGTCATATTAATTTTCTAATTTTGTTAGAGATTGACAAAAAACACTCTTAAGAGAACGTGAAACAAACACATCTAAGGACGCTGTGCTAATTTCCACCCCCCTCCACAGTGTGTGCGACTGCTGGCTTCCCAGACCCTGGCACCTAGCTGTGTCAAGGTGACAGGCGAAAACAGTGTCCAGTCCACGTCGTAGTTTTTTTTTTTTTTTTAAAGATTGGCACCTGGGCTAACAACTGTTGCCAATCTTTTTTTTTTTTTTTTCTGCTTTATTTCCCAAACCCCCCGGGTACACAGTTGTATATCTTAGTTGCAGGTCCTTCTAGTTGTGGGATGTGGGACGCAACCTCAACATGGCCTGATGAGCGGTGCCATGTCCGCGCCCAGGGTCTGAACCCTGGGCCGCCGCAGCGGAGCACACGAACTTAACCACTGGACCACAGAGCCGGCCCCCGTCGTAGTTCTTAATTTTCAGTGAGTGGGAGCATCTTTCCATGTTGACAATCTATTTATGATGATTTTTATGTGAACTATCTGCCTTTTCCATTTCCCTTCTAAAATTATTTATTAAAAAATCTCAACATGTTTTTTTGAAGCAATCTTTGTCTTATGTGTTGCAAATATTTCTTTCTCAGTTTGTCATCTGTCTTTGGTATATTTTACTATACTGAAGTTGAAGAGATATATAGATCCATATCTATATCTATGAATATATACATCTATATATCTCACGCATCACGCATATGAGAGAGAGAGACAGAAAGAGGGAGCTTAAATCACCCTATGATTTCTGAGGCTCTGAGGTTTGCGTCCTGCTTTGAAAGGACTTTCTCCATTCCAAATTGTAAAATAAATTATCCCATATTTTTTTCTAGTGATCCTATGGTTATATTTTTAAAAATTCAAATCTTTGATTCTGACATCCACTTCAGGTTAGAAGGTAGGACTTGAAACATCTTTGTTCACGTGGTAACACCAACAAAAACCCAGACATATAAAAATCACACTTTTCGAAGGGGCTAAGAAAGATCTGGGACAAAGGGAGGCTTACTGAACTGAGTTTCTGAGAAACGAGCCCTCCGCTGGCAAACGGAGAGTCAGGACAGCCGACCCCCAGGGAAGAGTTTGTGGTTTAGGTATGGCAGGGACTTTGCAGGAAGGAGAAGAAATCAGCTGAGCCTCTGATGGTGGTGGAGGCTAGAGAGGTGAATCCGAAATGTGGAAGTGTCCCAATTACAAAAACAAATGGTCCCAACAACTTCTCCCCTCAAACTTTGACCGAAAAGAATCAGACAAGAAAGGACTAAAATGCAGAGCAAAGTCACCAAGAACCCCGAATTCCCACAGAGCTTGGATTCCAGGGTTCTGCTGACTTGAATCCAAAGTAAATGAAAAATATTTAAAATGGAAGACCATCAGCTCAAATATTGGTAATGTCAAAAAGACAGCAGTAGTGTGCGAGTTGGGGGGTCCGTCTAAGCATAAATAATCTCAATCTAATTAAAACTTCAGCCCAGATCCGGGTCAATCTGACTCCAGAAGGAATGTGAATAATTGGCCCTTCAGCCTGCCAGACAGAGAGAAAGGGCCTGCATTCTCTGAGAAATAAAATGTGAAGATTATTATACTTCAGTCTTCACTGTCTTTGTATACACGTTTATGAGATACAGTAAAAATTTATGAGGCATGCAAACAAACAGGAGACACTGACCAACAGTCAAGAGAAAGCATGGTCAATAGAGGCAGACCGGCCGTTAACCCCAGTTATTGGAATGAAGAAGAATTTTAAAACAATTATTATAAACATTTTTAAGAATTTACAGAGAAAGGTGAATGTAAGAGATAGGGGTATCTCAGGCAAGAAAAGTGAACACTAAAAAAGGAGAAAATGGAAATTCTAGCATGATAAAATGCAATGCCTGAAATAAAAAGTTCACTAGATGATATTAACAGCAGTTTGAATCCTCAAAAGCCAACATTAGTGGGGCCTGCCCAGTGGTGTAGTGGTTAGGTTCACACACTCCACTTCAGCAGCCTGGGGTTTGCCTACCATCGCTCATCAAGCCATGCTGAGGCAGTGTCCCACATAGAAGAACTGGAAGGACCTACAGCTAGGACAGACAACTAGGTACTGGGGCTGTGGGCAGGGGAAAAAAAGAAGATTGGCAACAGAACTTAGCTCAGGGCCAATCTTCCTCACCAAAAAAAAACAAAGAAAGAAAGAAAACATTAATGAACTTGAACAGCAGTTATAGATATTATCCAACTGAGTCAGAGATTGAAAAGAGATTTTTAAAAAATGGAATGTCAAGAATGATGACTGACTTCTCATCAGAAATAATACAAGACAGAAGACAATGAAATGATCATTTTAAGTGCTGAACGAAAAAACACCAGCATTCAACCTAGAATTCTATATATAGTGACACTAACTTTCAGAGGCAGCAGGTGGACAAATCATGTGTGAAAGAAACAAAGTCACCAGTGTGGGGATCACAAGGAGGGAGTGACAGATGTCCACTTCCGAGACAAGAAGATGCCTGGTCCCCAGAGTTCTCATTGGGTCGTTAGTGCTGGTGCTGTGTCTTGACTGGTAAGTGGCTGTCCAGTCACTGATGTATTTCCCAATTCCTCTGTTTTCTTTCTTTCTCTTAATGTCATCATCTGAAGTAAGAGGATGTCTGTATTCCTTGTAACCTAAAAGAGCCAAATTAACATCATTCCTTGAGACAAGATGAATTCTCAACTTCGTTTTTGGTTCGTTTCACAAACGTTTTATGTTAAAGCACAGAGAAGAAGCCAGCACAGCAAAGGAAAAGAGCACAGGACAGCTTCCCGGGGTCCCAGACCCACTCTAGGCAGCCGTTTCCTTCCCACACATGATGACTAACTATCTTTCAATTAAAATTATGTAAATTTTCACCAACTCTCTTCAGAGAGAATACAAAGAAAGAATGAAACAGTACCACTGGTTTACGGGCAATCAAAGAGAACAGACTGCTGGCTTTGATGAGAGAATCCAAATTTTTAATGAAGAATGTTGACAAGCGTCTGGGGGAAAGTCTACACGTAGCTATCAGGAGAGGAGCGGGGAAGAACTTTTCACTGGTCTGTGCGTTCTGAGCGCGAGTGAGTTTATGAGAGTCTCTTATAAATCGCCATCACGATAATAAACTGTCCCCTGGTAGTTAGCATTTAGCAGTGTGTTTTAGCTGTAGCTCATATTCAACAAATAGCAGGTTAGCTATCACCGGGAATTCTTATTGTGGGAAACGTTACCCGCCAGCCCCTCCACCATAGTGGGATATCCCCAGTTATTTTTAGGGCAGTGGTGTTTCCAAATTGTTGTTTAGATTCCACTCTCTGCCGAGACCTGGTCCCAAAATGGATGTCCTTCCTTTGCCTCTGAAACCTTCATTTTACACGCACTTGGAAGGGCGCCTTAGCAGTAGCTTAATAAGGGAGTTATCAGGATTCACAGAATTTGGTGTTAGCAAACTACCATTAGCAGCTTCTAGAGTTGACCGAAGATTCAAGCTCAGAATTCTTCTAAAAAGCCTGGCTGATCTTTTCGTGCTTGTTGAGGTCACAAAGCTTCCCAGAGGGTGATGTTGTCCGTGCCTGATCACTCTAGATATGTCATCGTATCTGGAAGATTTCGGCAACAAATGATGGAAACCTGACTTGAAAGGCATAATCAATAAGGGCATCTATTGTTCCACATAACAAGGAGTCTCAAATTGTGACAGCTCTGCTTCTTTGGGTCTCTTTTGGCTCTTCCCTGTCTCTGTATCAGTTTTGTCCTTGGGCTAGCGCCTCTCAAGTTTGCTAGGTAGATAAAGCACTTGCAGGCACTATATTCTGGCATAGCAATATCCAGAAAAGCTTTTGTCACCTGTCTGTGCCTAACCCCATCACCAGCAAGGAGAACTGGACTAATTTAGACAAACTGGAATCTACCACCTGGAGCTGGGGATGGGCCGGTCTCTCCTAACGGGCTTGGCTGTGCAGAGAGTATATTCCTCAACAATTTCTGGGCCCTGTTAGGAAGGAGGAAAGATGAATGGGTTTTAGGTGACTTAGGGAATTCGGCCCATTATATTTTTCAATTGCTGGTATTGCCACTTTTTAACCACAAATTACAGTTTCTTCCATTTCATTATTCTTAGTTTGCCATGGACTATTTTACTAAGTTTACAATGTGTAGCGATGCGTTATCTTCATCAATATTTCGGACTTTAATTTTCCCATAACTTAATTTAAAGACGTGAACTTTGGGGACCCAGAATAAATTACCCACATTCTGCTGCCAAAGCAGATAAATCCATAATCTTTACCTCCATCACTGATACCCCGACTGGCTTCTCCAGGGACCCTTGTTGTTACCAGAGTTTTTCCTATAAAAAGAGAAAAAAGAAAAAGTGAGTCATGTGTGCTTATGGGCTATGTTATTCTGCCTAAGTGGGCTCTGCTCAGAAAGGTGTGAGAACCTTTGCTTTGGGCGGGAACTCCCGTTAGCTTCTCCCCGTTCTTCTCTGCCCTGATGAAGAAAGCAGATAGAGTCTGAAATATCTTGTGTGCTTGCCTCGGTCTTAGGGCAGCGCAGACCCAGCGCCTCCTCATTCATCTCTTCTGTCTGGAATTGGCAGAAACGAGATTGCCTTCTTCAGTTGACCTGCTTCTTTTATAAACTGAAAAGATCAAAGCTCTGGAACTAAAAATACAACTATTCTGGCTGGAGTAATTCCAAGTCAGTTACTGCTATCATTAGGCATTAAGTTGAAATATTGGCACTTAAATTGTACATGTGACGACTTCAGGCCCTGATGACATCTCACTTAGATTATTCCACCTGCTTCTTACTGGATCTCTCTGACGCCTCCAATTCATCTTGCACAGGATTCTAGAGGGATTTTTCAAGAACACAAATCTGATCCTGTCCTTTCCCCGCCTAAAATCCTTAAATTGATTTCTACAAGCGTCTTAGTCTCTTTGGGCTGCTGTAACAGAATACATAGATTAGCTTAGAACAACAGACATTTATTTCTCACGGTTCTGGAGGCTGCAAGTCCGAGAACAAGGTGCAGGCAGATTTGGTGTCTGGTGTGAACCCACTTCCTGGTACATAGATGTCGTCTTCTTGCTATGTCCTCACGTGATGGAAGGGGCAAGGGAGCTCTCTGGGGTCCCTTTTCGAAGGGCACTAATCTATTCATGGGACCTCCATTCTCATGACCTCATCACCTCCTGAAGGCCCAATCTCCTAATACCATCACCTTGGGGGTTAGGATTTCAACATAGGAATCTGAGCCGAGGGACACAAACATTCGGTCCATAATAAAAGGTAAATGCGCGCACATGCCTATTCATGTTCTGGCCTCTGCCTTTCTTTCCAACTTCATCTCTTGCCCCCGTCCTCAGCAAAATCTCGCTGGGCACTGCAGTCCGACACCATTCTTGCGGTATCTGGAAAATACTGTGTTCTTCCTGGCTTCCAGCCTTTGCACGCGTTGCTCCCTCTACCAGGAATATTCTTTCTTCTTTATCTTCTGTTCCATTCCCGTTTATCCTTCAAAATCCATTCCCAACACCATATTCTCTTTCAAAGTCTGCCTTTACTCTACTAGGAAAAGTCAGTTCCTACCTTTGATGCAGTATTAGTAACAAACGTTTAACGCTGTGGTCTTCAGAGCCAAACTATCTAGGTTCAAATTCAAGTTCTACCCTTTACTGGCCGTGTGACCTTGTCAAGGACTACACAGGATTTGAGATGTTATCCTACTTGCAAGCTACCGAGCTTGCCTGTTAGTGCTTGATAGATGCTGGCAGGAGACACGAGACTCCTGGGTCAGAGACAAAGGACTTTGTTGCTCACGACTAAAGCAGTAGATTGAACTTCATGTTAGTTTGCGTTGGCTCCCTATGACCGCAAGTCCCATGGTGGTAATTCACAGGGCCCATTACGGATGTCTGCACACACAGTGGTTGCATTATAGGACACGAACATGGAACTTGGAGGAATCATCACTTTTATAATAAGTGGAATAAAAAGCCTTCTTTTTGTCCAGGGGAAGATGCTATCTCATCACTCTGGGCTGCTTGCTGCAAACACAGCTATGGGAAATAGCTCAGGTCAAGAGCGGTCAGGGCCATGAGTGCTTGACACACCCAGGAAGATGGTGCAGGAACGCTCAGGGTCCACAGTGGATTGTCTCTCCCAAAAGCCTTGGACACATTATTTAACTTCTTTGTACCTCGCTCTCCTTGTTGCTTAAGTTGGCATGATAATAGTTGCTGCATCATAGGGGTGTTGTAAGGGTTAAAAGAGCCAGTATATGTTCAGCTCTTGGACCAGCTCCCAGCCCAGAATAGTGATCAGTAAGTGCTAGTTATTATTATTAATAGCCCTCCAATCTGCCCCCTTCCTGCTATCCACATATTTTATTTGTAGCTTTTATTACTTCTCCCGGTAAGTATTTGTTTACACATTTCTCTTTTCTCCTGGCCTAAGAGCTCCCTCGGGCACACTCATCTTTGGATCCCAGATGCCAATGTAGGGCGGACAATGACTGCATTTGGCTATGCCTACATCTACTCAGCAGAGTCCTTTCTCTGTCCTTTTGATCAAATTTGAAGACTTTAAACTCTGCAGTCCTTTGGGGAAAAGAAAAATCTCTCTCTTTTATGTAGTGCTCTTTTCTAACAGAATGACCTGGAATGGTAATTGTGCCGTCCATACAAGAAGATTAAGTAGTTCCTGCAAAAGGTGGAAAATTGTCTACTCTCGTCTGTTTCCATTTTCGTAAAATAAGAGTAATACTAGTATTTTGGGGGCGTTTAAATGGGTTAATGTATGTAACATGCTTAGGACAGCACTCAGCACAAACTCAATGTATGTTGGCTCTTTATTCCTCACTAGATCCCATATCCTATTACACTCGTTGAGTCGTAAAGGCTAAAGGGATGGCTAAATGTATTTCAGTCACTTGTGATGCTAAAGAGAAAAGACAAATTTAGTTTCCACTGTTATTGCTTTAATTCAGAAAACAGTCTATCTAGGGATAAGAGTCAGATGGGTCATTGTTCTATCGGCTGCTTCTCAGAAAATAATCCAGGTCAACCCATGCAAGCTGTTCTTGTGAAGCTGGCTGCGCCCAATGGGCCTCCTCTGTCCACACGGAAGCAGCGAAAAGAGATGACCCGCCACCTGGCACCTAACACAGGTTCTGGTCTACGAGCGCCACTCAATAAATCTCTGAAGGATGAGTAAATAGAGGAATGCATGAACAAAATTAATGAAGAATAAAAAAGTTACTGAAACTCTTTAATATGATCGTTGTTTCACATACCTGATAGGAAAATCATCACCCAGTATTTTTTTCCGAATTAACTGGGCTCTAAATGGACGGCTAAGTGTTCCTGTTAGAACGTCAAATTCTGTTAGCTGAGTTTCCTAAAATTATGGTCCTTCGCCCGACTGCTTTGACTGTGCAAAACTTACTGAAAAAAAGGCTTCCCTGTCATCTGGCACCACGGACTGTTTTGTTAGCTAGAAAATGTAGCCTTGTAATCGGTATGTGGTTTACTGGCCTCTGGTGTATAATAAATAGCCGAAGCCCCTCTCGCCCTGGAAACATTAGCACCGAGACATGCGGCCGGCCCTGCGGGTGAGACCAGATTGACTACAGGTCTGCGCTTTCCTTGGGTTTCACAACAGGACCTGTGTTGTTTCTTCTACCACAGCCTACGGAGAACGAGGATTGAATCCACAGCTGCTGCCAGTGTTGGCTCACCTCTGACGGCACACACCTGCCCGGCTGGCCGGCGAGCCACAGAATGAATGCCCTTCTTATCTGAGGGGAGAGCAAGGTGAGAAAAAGATGGGATGGACAGGAAGGTAGTTCAACAAACAGAAAGCATCCAAGAGTGGATGTTCTGGTCCTGGTTCTAACCCCTCCTGGCCCTGCTGTGGATTGTACTCATCAGGGTTCTCCAGGGAGACAGAACCAATAGGAGACATATACGTGTATATGTATATGAAGAGATTTATTATAAGGGTTTGGCTCACACAACTATGGAGGCTGAGAAGTCTCACCATCTGCCATCTGCAAGCTGGAGGCCCAGGAAAGCTAGTGGTCTAATTCCGGTCTGAGTGCAAAGGCCTGAGAACCAGGGGCGCCGACGGTGGAAGTCCCAGTCCAAGGGCAGGAGAAGCCCGAGGTCCCCGTCCAGCAGGTAGGCAGGAAGCAAAAGGGGCGACTTTCCTTCTTCTGCCTTCTTGTTTACTATTCAGGTCCTCATGGATTGGATGAGGCTGACCTGCATTGGGGAGTGTGATCTTCTTTACTGAGCCCACTGATTCAATGCTAATCTTATCCAGAAACACCCTCACAGAGACATCTGGAAATAGTGTTTGATCCAGGCACCTCTTGGCCCAGTCAAGTTGACACACAAAATTAACTATCACAGATGTGCATGGTTTTTACATGTGTGCATATGTACATACAAAATGTATATTCTTTAAAAAATATATAACCCACTACTTAACCTAAATAATTATAGAATATGATAACTATAAGATACTTTATTATTTTTCAGATCAAGAGGCTCATGTGTCCAAAATCACATACGTAGTCAAAGTAGGCCCCGAATTAGCTCTTGGATGTTCTGACTCCCACTCTCCGGCACTCGCCACACTGGACCGTAGTTCCTCAACTGTGCCCCTCAGTATTAACTATTTCATAGAATCGTTTGCATCTGAAACAGCCTATATAAAGAACTCAAGTTCATTTTTGGAAAAAAAAGGTTGAGTATCCAATAAATACCAGATCTTTAGAGAATTCTCATGAGTACAGACAAGGAAATGAGAAGCACATCAGAGTATTGCAAGATGCTCACCCATCCCTTATCTTGGCCAGGTGGGAAGACCACATCCTCAAACTGCCTGTGCAGCATGGCGTGGACCACATGATTGAGTGCGGGAAACGGAATATAGGCAGAAGTGACATCCTTCACCACCAGGCTGGGCCATCGGACATCCAGTGCCATCTTCCACAGCCTCTCCCTTCCGTGTCAGCATGGCTGGGAGCTGGGGGAACTGCACAATGAGCAGAGACAAGTTTTGAGGAAGCTGCCTAGGAAAGCTGCCTGACCTACACAGGAGCATATGAGCAAAAACGAAAATTGTATTGTGTTAAACAACTGCACACCAGAGCTGTTTGTTACGGAAGTGTGTCAAACTTTGTCAGTGCCCACTCACATCGCCTGCCTCTACTGGAGCTCCCCTGCAGCTTCAGTCTGGGGCATTCAGGGACCCGGTTCTCCCTCTGTCTTAGAGCTTTCTCCGGCCGTAACAGATTGTGTGTCCTGCATGTGGGACAGGTGAGAAACGCTAGGAGGCTGATGCCTTTAGGAAGAGCCCTCAACAGTCAGGGATAGAAGCTGGTGGGTAGGTAGCTCAGCTTTCTTGCCTCTTGGGGAGTCTGTTGTAAGCTACGCCCTGTGTATCCTCTCAGAGGTCCCAGGCAGGACGGAGCCCCAGGCCCCACACCGGTAACCCTCTCACTCTAGCAAACTTAATGGGTCTTCCTTCCTTCTCATCTGACTTCTGCTCTCCTTCACCGTATTTCTGGGATCGCTTCCCAAATAAACTATTTACACCCAACTCCTTTCCTCAGAGCTCTACTACCAGGGGAGGCCAAACTCATACATGACAACTCGCCTTAATTTCCCTAGTACGAGCAGAATATAGTTGAATGAATAGAATATGCACTCGAATATTTTCAGGATTATGAGTTCTAATTCTGTCTATGGTTCCAGTGCATGACCCAGTCAATGAGCATAGTCTTTCTTGAGTAGTACTTGAGGCAAATGGCAGCAAATAATGAACAATCCTGAAATTATTCGCAAATGTTATTTTTTAAGTAATTAGCAAAAATACATAATATTTAAAGAGTGTCTTCGGTTACAAAAGCAGAACACGTTCTGCTTTGGTATTTAAAATGTGGAAAACACAGAAAATCCTAAAGAAGAGAATAAAATGCTCCATTATCCCATGGTTGCTTTGAAAATTTGGGTGTACAGCTTTCTGGCGCTTTTTTCTATGCATATATATTTTGACAAAATGGGATCATATTGTATAAATAGTATTGTAACTTGATTTTCTCTTTTACCAAAAACCAGACATATAGCCTTCAGTGGTAGCCCAGGCATACTTTAGGAAGTGGATTAACTCTATCAATCTGTGGATACTGACTGAAATACTGTGTCAGTATTGTATTTTATTCTGTCCCAGACCCACTTGATATACTGAAATGAAAATATTCAAAGATCAAGAAAAATCCATATTTACTTAGCACACTCCACACAATCAGAGGTTTTTTCTCTCCGTTTTGTTATCTCTGGAGTCCAGAACAATGCTTGGCATAATAAGCTTTTGATAAATATCTATTTAATAAATAAAGGAGTAACAAAGCATCTGACACGATCTTGCTAATTGGATTAGACCCACTGTGTAGTCAACGGGAAGCAACAATCCGCGTTTAATACTGGGATGACTTTATCACATGTGGTCTACCTTCTTCCTTTCTTCATATGTCAGACCCTCCTTGTATCAACATCCTGCTTTCCCACAACAACCTAATGTCCCAGAACAGGAGTGAGGTTTCCCACAGGCAAGACACAACTCATTCCTGTTGCAACAACGTTCGCTTTCCTACAATATCACGTTCTTGTAAATCATTCACACAAGGGTACATTTGTCAAGAAAATAATTGTGAGTGTTTTGCAACAGCTGGAACCTAGATTTTATCTCTGTTGGCAACTTGCACTCTTCAGTAATGTGGCTACATGCCCACCGGTCAACAGGCGCCGTGGACCCATTGTCAGAGCTTATGGCCAAAAGTGTTACTGACATTTAATATCCTGAAATCATCAGGCAGGCTCTGAGTTCTCACCCTCAAGTCCAGAGGAGATCTTCATGATTTATACTAACGTTCCTGCCCCTTGGGAGCTTTCCGAGCTTTGAGAAGTGTGGAAGTGGCCTTGGAGACTTACCTCCATGACCAGTTACGTGCCATTGTCACTGTTCTGGTTATTGGTGATTTCAGGTGTCACCTGGCTGAGTAACAATGAAAATGTTACTCCGAAACCTGCTTTAGCTGTACTGGTAAGCTGGCTCCCCAGCTGCGTGTTCCACAGCAGTGGCGTGGTCATCGGTGGAGATGCAGACCCAGAGGCTTGCTCAGCCCCTACCAGCCAGACATCAGCGGCTTGTCGACAACATCAACTCCCTAACATCCACCTTTGTATGTCCATGTAGCCATCACAGGGCCTTGAGCACAGTAGACATTCATTCAAAGTGAATTAAATTGAACTGAAGAGAATAAGCCATCAATTGACTTACCTTTGTGGTTGGCTTTTCATTGTTTTGGGATAAATGTAGCCACTACTACAACCCTGAAGAAACAAAAGGAAACAGTGGTGACTCTCCTATCTAACCAGTTCAGAAAATGAGATGTGCTTAGGAATTAAACACACGGAGCTAATCCATAGAGTCAGGTGGAGTATTCTGTGTGGATTACTCATGGGCAATAATTAGGACACCAACAGTCCTTGGTTTGAGTGACCACACAGCCAGCATCGTAGTTGCAGGAGGCAGTGGACGGAGGTTGAACAGAGAAAGTTCAGTGCACTGAGATTCGACCAACCACTGACGCCTCCCGGGCTTATTGAGGAATGAGTTTCCTCGTTCATAAAGTAAAATAACTAGATTAGACAATTGCTGAGGAATTGTCAAGTTCTGAAACTTTTTCAGGAGCTGACAACATAGAAATGGATTTGACATAGACGTTTAAAGGTTAGGAAAGACACGGGACAAGTCAACCTTTAATACTGCATTTCATCAAATATCCTTACATTTGCATCACAATTTGGGGTAACCAGCTGACATAGATGAAACGCCAGAAAGTAACAAACAATTTCCAGTACAATAAAAAATGGAATAACATCTTATACTTATTTATGGTCTGCTCCTCTACAAAGAGTAATGGAGAAAAGTTTCACTGAGTATCTCTAGGAGCGAGTTTTAGGTGGAAGTGACTGGGGCTGGGGGGTAGCATGTAACACACAGTATGTGAACACAGAGGCGCATGGAACTGCCCCGAACTCTGCCCAATGTCCCGGCAGCTCTCTGCCAGATGTCTAGCCAGTTCTCTAGGCTAAAAGTCGGTAAGACCACAGCAGAGTTTTTATCTTTACAAAGGCAAGGGTAGGACTTTAAAAGAGATAATCAAGCCCTTTGCCTAAAACGTACCCAGGAGAAAGAAGGACCTATCTGAAAAGTCCACTCTAAGTTTTGCAGATCCCCGTATAAAGGATCTGTGTCCTACCACTAAGGAAAAGAGGTCACAGCTCCGAGTGTGGGATTGACCAGCAAACAACCCGAAGCCCCACGTGGTGGGAAGTGATGGAAAGAAGGAGATACAGGGTGCTCCTGTAGCTTATGGGTTTGGGGGATTTTCACAGAAATTATTCCCGGGAAAGTGACCACCGCACTGAGGAGGACATGTAGAGTGTCGGGGTGGGGGAAGGCTGGCCGTTTCAAACAGTTTCCAGGTAGACAGTACTATATATGCAGAAGCCCAAAGGGGAGACAGGACATCCCTCTCACTCATAGGCAACCTTGGGCAAATTTGACCACACCCCTGGGCCTTGATTTCCTCATATGTAAAATGAGTTGGATGAATAAAACGATCACTTTTGGCTACGAATTTATGAGAAATTCTAACACATATTCCTCATGTCCCCCCTTTTAAAAACTGATTCATTAGAATGGTTGTGCTCTCTTTCATTCAACAGATGATCATTTGCAGTGTTTACCTTAAAAAGTAAAATTAGAACTGATACAAGGGCACACTTATTTGGAGGGGTGGGGAATTAAGCGCCGGTGTAAAACAATAAACAATGCTGAAGTTATGCATCAGAGTGCAGAACACGCTGTTTATATAAGGAAATTACCTTTTGAAAACCTTGTTTAACTTTACACAACCAGGACATCTTGCCAAATAATCAGCCAAAAGGCTGGTAAAGTGACTCTGGGAAAAAAAGCATTATCCCCATTCTGAGGATGTTCTGATACAAATTAGAAAATTTTATGCAGTGGGTTATCTGTTGGGACGGATCGCTCTGTGCTTCAATACTTGGGAAAATACAGCCTTGACTTGAAAAAAACCTCCCTGAAAACGCACCGAAGAGGCAGTGAAAAGAGGTGGCAACTGCTCCCATTGAGACTGCGTTGACGGGCTCGAGGGTGGGGGTGGGGAGGTCAGATTCCTTCCATTTCTTCCGATTTTTCCTCAGCATCGCATTTCCACTTTTACGTGTTCTCTTTCCATCCCCATGGCCAGCCTTTTCACAGGATTCAGAAGTAGAAGTGACCACAGGAAACGAGGGGAAAATGCAGAAAATGAGAAGGGACAGGGTGGATGGTGCAGTAGACGTGTAGGAAGAAGAACTGAGTCAAAAGGGTAATTTAGAAAAGGGAGGAGAAAATTAGGGCCGTCGCTGGAATACCAAAATACTGAAAACAAGACTACAAATAACGTGGGTTTTGTGGGGGTTTTCATAGGTGTTTTTGCTTAAAAATAGAGCAAACGTGTAGATATGAGTGTCAGGGGAGGAGTCAAGGCAGGAACATGGCGGACCGCCTTCTTGGATCTCGGTCTCTGAGCTTGGGGGAATCTATATTTCTGGAGCCCTGACCTGCACGTTGGTACCAGATGACATTTTTCCTCTTGGACCTCCAGGTGTCTTTACAGGAAGCGCACATGTTGATTTCTAGCGTACAACAGCTAAAAATCTTAAGGGTCCACTCAGCGGGGCCCTTTGGGGTGCAATTCTTTACTCTTTACCATACATAGACATACATTTCTCTTTTACCTTAGCTCTCGTGGGTCGAGGGCATTCGCTGAACCTAGAACATCCGTTCAGCGGACACGCTTCATATTCCTGCTTCCTCAAACAACGTTCTGAAGTCTTTATCAAAACCCTGCTCCTTTTCAGTGGAAGTTAAACATTCTTTCTCTTCCTCACTTAACCTTGACCCGCTGCAAACTTGTTCAGCCAAAGTGTTAAGTTTCAGTAAGAGAATAAAAAGCACTTGAAACTCTTGAATATGCACCCAAGTGCGCTGTATAACTTCCTGGTCTTTATTTTGAAGGAGTTTCCTTGCCCCAAGCTCTTTATCAAGTACCTAAGGAAGTAGGAAATACTGTGGATTTAGAGCACATTCTTCCCGGAGGGCCAAATTCTTACCCTTGATCCCCTGCAAAGAAATGTCACACACATGAATCATTCTCGTCATTATTCCATGTGGCAAAAAGGGTTCCAGAAGGATCTTAGTGCGATCAAATAGCCTCACATCTATGATCATTTATCACATTAATATATTTGGGTTTAGATTTTTTTTCATCCAAGTCATTTTTATCATTTACCTCATCTATGACTCTTATTTTCTTATCCAATATTGGCGTAGAAATTTTTAACAAAATAATTCAGACGTTCAAAAAAGTACAGACAGTAATATAATAAAGACCTGTTAATTCACCACTGAATTTATGAACAAAAATATTTCACAAATACAACCGAAGCCTCTTGTATATCCCCTACAGATCCTTTTTCTCCCAAATGCCATTCTTCATGGTATGGTGTTTATCATTCTCTTGTACATTTTTATGTTTTTACATATATGGATATAGATTTATAGATAGATATTTCTTAGGAAAAGATTGAACTGCTATGGCAACAAAATACGGCAGCTTAAATAATTTCCAACAGCAGCTTAAATCATTCCCTCTCTATGGGTTTTTTAGATGCCTTCCATTTTTCCCCTTGGTCCCCACTATTGCGTTATCCTTGTCTGCATAGTTGAAGATGGATTGGTTCCCAGGAAGGGTGAAAAAGGCAGGATCCAGGGCACACAGCTTGCCAGAAGTTGCGTACATCACTCTGCCTGTGTCCATTAGTCTAATCTTGGTCATGTGGACACTCCCAGGTGCAAGAGAGAGCAGGAAGAAGAAGAGAAAGGACCTGGGGAAGGCGCGGACAACTCGTAGTTTGCCAGAATAAACAAGATTATAGTGCATGTTCTAAAACCTCATTTAAATTGTATCACACTTTAGGTAGGTGTGGCAGGCTGAGCAATAGCCACCCAGAGATATCTGGTCCTCATCCCTGGGACCTGTGAATGTTATTTTCTAAGGAGAAAGGGTCTCTGGAGATGAGATTGTTAAGGATCTTGAAGTTTGGGAGATTATCCTGGATTATCTGGTGGGCCCAATGTAATCACAAGGCTCCTTATAAGAGAGAGACAGAGGGAGATTTGATACTCACAGAAGAGGAGGAGGCCATGGGGACAACACAGGTAGATTGCACGAGTGGAGTGATGTGGCCACCAGCCAACAAGTGCTGGCGGCCTCCCGAAGCTGGCAGACACAGGGAACAGATTCTCCACCAGGCTCCCCAGAGGGAGTGAGGCTCTGCTGACACCTTGAGTCCCCAGCAGTGCTGGAGCCCCCTCACCACACGTTCCTTGTTGCTCAGGTAAATGGAGTGCATTCTGTGTCCTCCTGAGGTACATGGTCAGCTGGTGAGTTTTTCAGTTTTATTGAGCAGAACGTTATGGCATGCCCGCTTCTGAGCCTTATGACGCCTTCCAGCACAGTAGCCAGAGCAGTTTGCTGTCTCCCCTGCGTCAAATGCAGCCCATCGCTTATTCTAAGGATCCAAAACCATACCAGCAGAGTCTTAGGACTTTCTCCTGGAGCCCTGGCCAGGGTGTAAAGCCCGATATCAGAGAGGGTTCCCATCTTGGCAAACTCTTGCTTATCCAGCTTTATATTTCGCTCTCCACTGCCCGCACCCATCCTGCCCCCAGTGTCCACTGCCGGGCCAGCCCACCCAGCTCTGCTGATGCAGCTTCATCAACTTCTGCAGTTCCTCTGAGGGCCGGTCCTGTTCTTGCCTTAGCAGCCCAGCAGCCCTTGGGCCCACAGGCACTGATACGTGATCCTAGTTATGGGTCTGGTCGCCAGAATGGGAGCTGGGGCAGAGCCTGAGGAGGTCACTATTGTCTTGTAAGGCCTCCGCATAGTCTTCACACGGGGCGGGAAGTCGGAGGACTCAAGTTCTCCAGGGCAGCTCCCCAGATATCCCCACCCCGACTCTCAGCACCACGCGCCTTTTCCGTCAAGGCCCTGGCTTAGAACAGGAGAGCCACCTCGGCTGAGAACCCAGCCACCTCTGAAGTTCTGCACTCTTACAGGTAAGCCCTGGGCCTATTTCTCGGTCCTTCCTGCCCTCCAGGGACAGGCCTGAGGCCAAGGAAGCCCGCTGACTCACACACTTTCCTTCTTTAATTGAGCCTGTCATTTTTTCTTTTCAATGAAACAGTGGCCCTT